GCCCTGCCCTTTTTGTTTTTTGGGGGGGGGGGTTGTTTTTTTGTTTTTTGACACTGCTCCTGACTGATACGAGCAATAAGACCCCTCTGATGCTTTGGAAGCTCTCTGCAGATCATGACTTGTGCTGTAGGATGACTGAAAAGATTATGAAACCAAACTTAACATACTTAAAATAGTGGTAGATGTATGCTGATTCCCATTTACCATGGCTTTTAATGTGATTGGTTTATTCTCAACACAGCCTTATGTCATTGTAAGAGAGTGCACACAATCGTGCACCCACATACACCAGTCGTTTCTCTTTGCTCCTGCTCTCAAACAGATTATTAAAAAATTCTCAACTGATCTGCATTTTACAGATCATATCGGGAAGATTTGTCTCAGTCTCCCCCCGGCCCCCTTTTTTTCTTACAAAACAACAAAGCTAAACATTTGAACAGGGAGGTGTAGACATTTATATCCATCACATGTGCCTTGGCTCTATTGATGGTGGAAAACACTGATACATGGTCAACTACACTGTAAGGAAGTAATGAAAACATACCAATAGAGGAGACCAGCACACAAGCAAGACGCACATAATCCCCATGAGTTGAATGACGGTCTCCGTGGTGAGTCTTTCCCAGTGTTTGGAGGCCTGAGACGTGCCAGACTTGGTTTTACAGCGAACAATCAGGCCGCGGATGGTCACCACGTTGCAGGACACCGTGACAAGCAGTGAGAAAATCCCCAGTAAGGCAAAAGTGAAGGCGAAAAAGATGTTCCCCGGCACTTCTCTGTCCCCGGTGCTGATAAAGCACCAAGTGCCGGGCCACTGGCGCGTATACTTGCCCACCCCTGCCACGGGCAGGAGGGCGAAGAGCAACACCAGGCACCAGATGACCACCAGAGTCTGCTTGGTCACGCTGGTCTTCATGTGGTTGGAGTACCAGTGCGGGTTGGTGATGGCCGTGGCCCTTTCCATGGCCATGGCGCTGGCCATGAAGAGCGCGCACAGGCCGAAAGTGGTCATGCATACACCGAAGAACGCGCACAGGTTGCCAGACGAGTCGATGCGCTCCCATCTCAGGTCGGCGCGATAAACCGAGATCACTATCGGACTCGTCAGGAGCTGGCCGAACAGGTCTGTCAGCGCTAGAGACCCAATGCAAAGCAAGAAGGACTTCTTCCTTCGGTTCTCCTTCTTCCTGTAGGAGATGTAGACCAGGATGAGAGCCAGAGAGTTGCCCACCATGCCCGTGGCCATCATGGTGATGGGAAAGACAACCGATACGTAACCGCAACCGATCTCCGTCCTGGTAACGTTTTCTTCACCGGCCGACCTGGTCACATTGGACGTCAGCATAGCTCCTATTCTGTTTTTCGAGCCCTCAAGAAAGTCACACTTGTCCGAAGTCATCCTTTCGGACGGGCTAAGAAGCGGAGGCGAATCACAGAAGACGTGCGTGTGTGCACCATCTCTTCAGAGATCCACACTGAGCCGAGCGGCTCTGTGCGTAAAAGCGCCCTCAGCCCTTTGACGCGCCAGAGGCGGGACTGGCGGGGAGGGATCCTGCCACTGCCTCCTCAAAAATAAAATAGTTGAAGTAACTGCAGTTTGAAATGTGTGAAGTACAGTGACGTTTTAATTTGTTGTTTCTTTATTGACATTGTGGGCGAGCGCCTACCCCAGACAGTTTGAGAACAGGAATTTTGGTACTTCGGGGTCTATCATCCTAATTTAACAGAAAATACTTCCTGCGTTCCAAACCACCCGATAGACGTAAAAATGTTAAGCATTTTCGTGCCGTCACACACCAGAGATAAGGAAAGGATTTTCTGATGGCTCTAGACACAACATTCTTACCCGCCGCAGGTTAACACAACGCAGATACGCATACAGTATTTGGCGTCTTGGATGCAATTGGTAGTGCATGACATCGTCCATAATGTGAATTTTATTTAAAACTTGTCTTAGGCTGCTTCGAGTATCCCTCTGGTTTGGATGGAGGACCTCTTCGTCTATTTGTATGCAGGTGTTGTTTTTTTAAGGTTATTTTTGTTTCAAATCTTAAAACGCCCCAGTATAACTTGAGGTCTAGTAATACTTGTACATGCGAAACCCTCCGGTTTACAGTTGTTCACGTTCGGAGTTCTGAGAATTAGCTTGGTTGGGTTACCGGACGGTTAAATGCTCAAGTATACTTTACTTATAAATCGTTCAAATGGCGGCGGGTTCCAGAATTTCAATTAGAAAGTTAACAATAACGCTGGAACAAAGCACGAGTGTCTCATCAGCCTTCTACCTATCGAAGCTATTTAACAGCTCGAACGGCAGAGGAACATTTCTGTCTACAAGTACAGTAATCCCTCGTTTATCGTGGTTAATGGGGACCAAATCCACGCGCGATAAACGAAAATCCGCGAAGTAGCGACCAATTAACATATTTCAAAAAATAAAAATTAAGTCCGCAAACGGTCCGCGAGAAGCTGCGAAAGTCAGCAACACAGCGAGTCACATAGAGCAACATATACAGTACTGTCCTCCATGTATATGAAAAAAAAAATTATGAATATGTTTGAAAAAATCCGCGATGCACTGAAGCAGCGATAAATGAACCGCGAAATAGCGAGGGATCACTGTACTTAACAAGACGCTGTATCTGATTAAATAACTAGAGAAATAAACCAATTGCAGGCAAAATAGAAACCACGCATTGTCAGGTTTGACATTATGTATGCAGGAAATTTTCAGATAAATAACAAGGTACGAAGTTGACAAGACTTTATTTACACACGGACACATAATATCATATATAAAGCATGAATTGTCACAATGTGCTAAAAAAAAGTCTTGAACAGTAATAAATGTTAATCGAATCTCCTCCTTCCTCTGGTAAACACTAATTACTAGTGTTTAAACAAATGGAAACATTTATGCCTAAATTTATTGAAATTGGTGCCGTTTGTGAGCAAAACTTGGTAATACTTACCTTAAAAACAAAATAAACTGTCTGTACCGGTAATCAGTTCTAGTTGTCCCCAAACAGATGCATTTATATTTAAAAGGGGTGTGTCCTGAGGAAGAATGTAAATTTCCCCAAAGATCAATAGAAATACTGCCACCAACATTATCCCAAAATACGGACCATCCAATTACATTATTTGGCCATGTATATATATTGGGAGACACAAGTCACAAGTTGGACAAAGAGGGTGTTGAAGGATAGGAAGCATTGCTACTACAGTGTGTGTGTGTGTGTGTGTGTGTGTGTGTGTGGGTGGGTGGGTGTGTGAGAATTGGGACGGTGAACAGTATACTGTATATGGATTTGTCGTTCCTCTCATGGTAACATGCACTTGCACCAAGGTTCATTTCACTGAGGCATTATAATTAATTTTTTTTCTGTTTAGAACTGGAGCCAGAATGGGACGATCCGGAGGACTGGTTGCTGCGCCTGAAAGCACATAACATGATGGGAAGGGGAGACACGTCAGCACCGACAGTCATCAACATTCAGCACAGCATACTTGTACGGTATCAGGTCAAGGTCAGAGCTTGAAAACCAGCACGACAAGGTCGTGAGCGAGGCGATAAAACGGCTATAATGAGTGCCACTGTGGTATTCCACTTTAAACCCAAACCTTTCGGACGAACGGGATCGAGAGCGTCTCCGTTTTCTGCCTCCAGATGACGACCTGGAGCGACTCCGCTTCTGTCCCCCCTCGGGTGAGGAAGGCAGGGAGACTGACCTCTTCCGAGGCGAGGAGCCCTTTCCAGACCTGGAGCTGGATCTTTTGGAGGGATAAACCAAGCACTGAGGTCAGAAGGGTCTAGCAAAGATCATACCAGGATGAAGCCTCAGAGTACAAGCTACGGCTTTAAAAAGGTACTGATCAGTTGACTTTGGTCAACGCCACTCAGAGGATACTAAGACCAGGTATGAGCACATCCAGAGGCCAAATAAAGATTTCCAAGATGGGCCAAATTTCAACGATGACAAATGACATTGGGGGCAAATATGTACCTCAAGGAACCAAATATGATCGGTCCTTTAATAAAAAGGGAGTTTTTTTTTTTTTTTTGTATTGCTATTTACAGCCCCAAATAACGACACTGTTTGGGGAGCCTTGGGGGCCCATTCAAACACTCTCTGCGGGGAGAGAGTGCATGTCACCTCATTCACCTGGAGCGGGACCTCGAGCGAGATCTGGATCGGGAACTAGAGGAGCTCCTAGAGCCGGATCTGAAAGACAAAAAGACACAAAATCTCTCCAATATTGTTAAGAGGAGGAATTATCATTGTGCTACACGTCGATGCCATGTAAATCTTTACCACAAGTTACGTGGGGGGTTTAAGGACAAGAAAAGCAGTGTTTAATTTTGGCTCGTCTCTTTTGCACCTCACAATTTGCAGTTAACGCCTTCAGAGTAACAGCATACTAACAGCCAGGTGGCCTTTCACATTGGCTTCAAAATTTGCGGTTATAGCACCATCTACTGTTGTGGCAAGTGAAAGGCAGCTAGTGAATGGATTCGCCGCATCAAATCATTCAACACGGACGGAGCTTGACATACAGTATTACAACGGCTCATTCAGTCTACACTGTCTTGACAGCACGGTAGGGGAGGGACTAAACCACGATTAAAACAAATGGACAAACAGGAAGCAGCAACATGGAAAGTATGTCGATCGGTTCATCAGAAGGAAAAGTTGAGAGCTGATACTGACATTTTTCCGGGAGTTACCCTTGACCTGCACCCGTTTACCTGGACCTCGACCGAGAACTTGAGCTGGATGAGCGCGAGGACGAGCGGGAACGGGACGAGCCCGAGCGGCTGCCCCTTTTCTTCACTTGCTCCTTCTCTTCATCGCTGGCATCCAGGTCGTACTTGGACAGGTCGCCGCCTTCGTCATCTTCGTCATCATCCTGAATGGCAAGTTTATGCTGATGTTAAAACGTCAGACGCCTTTTCCAAGATTGTGCTCAATGCTTTCAAAAGCCAGTGTGCTCTACACAGCTTGCTTGCGCTAAAAGTCTTGTGTCACGCTGCGGCCTGTTGCTTACATCGAGTTTGTACTTGGACAGGTCACCGTCTTCCTCGTCGTCATCCTCTTCTTCGTCATCCTCCTGCTGCGGGGGAGGCTGAGCCTTTTTTGCCGTTTCTTTCTTTTCACTTCCTTTTGAGGAAGACGTCTTGCTACTGTTCTTCCCACGATACTTTTTCTTTTTCCTCCCAAACTGTGACATAAATCAGATGTCAACTTATAGTTAGAAATTGCCTTTTCCCATGCGGTTAGGACACCACAAACACAATGTCATTGCTGTTCAACGATAACCTCACAACAGAATGGCACTCATTGTTCTCCTATATGCTTTGGTAGTAAAGTAGTAGATTATAAATTTTGTAATGCCACGAACGTGTTGTGTTCTAGCCCAAGGCATTCACCACTATGTGAATGTCAAAAGAGTTTGCAACCAAAATGGAGTGAACAGACAAGTTAACAGCTAAGCCAGCTTCTTCTATTTCTTCATCTGCTCGTACATGTTCATCTTTGTATTTTCCATCAGTCTGGATGCTCTGCGGCATCATGACATTTATTTCCTCGTGCCATTTATGGCTTGTAGGTACAGCATACGTTCATCATTTATAAGTATGTCCTTGTTCAAGCACACACACAAGCTTGCGTGAACCGTAAGTTAAACCAGAAGCGAGCTGTCACCTGATTCGAGTGAACTTCACCAATTTACATTGAGAATTAGGCATGAACACATTTAAAAAAAATATATAAGTCAGTGAATTTGAAGCCATTTTCATTTTTCTTGTTGCAAATGTCATACGTTGCTACAATACCAAAAAGTGTGCGTTGAAAATGTTTTACTCAAAAATTGCGACATTTAAGGGAATGGTGAATTGAAAAACAGTTTCCAGTTAGATGCATGGGAGCCACGTGTATATAGATAGATGTATGATAACACAAAAAAGACACAATTCCAATATCTGACAAGTCTTATAATAAAGAAGCATTAATATAATACTGAGTCGCTGATGGTGTAGTGCTACACTCGCCAGACTTCTGTGCGCGCACCGTGGGATGTGTTCCAACTCAGTGACTGTGTGTAGATGAGTGTGAATGTCCGTTTGTCTCTATATGCGCGACCAGTTCAGAATGTCGTCTGCCTTCTGCCTCAAGTGAGCTGGGATAGACTCGCGTGTTGAAAATGGATGGAAGAAAAATGAATATTAACACCAATGTACATTTTAAAAAGTTTGTTTGCTTGAATGCAATTACAAATAACAGCACATGGCACTAAAATGTCTGAAATAGCAGTATTTTATCTATATGTTCTATTGTGTTATTGTTATGTTAAATGTTGAATAAAGCATTTTGTAATAGCACCGTAGAAATAAATATATTTGATGAGCGCTGCCACTTTGTAATTGTAACAATGTGAGTTTCGATACAAAGCACAGTAAGATTTTGATAACTAGTGGACACGACAAATGACAACAACATAAAACGGTGGTTGTCAATACCACATTGTGAGCCGATTCTATGTCTCTTCAACAGACTCCGACTCCCCCTGCAGACACACATCCTCAGTGACTATTACCAACTAAGAGCCGAGACGCTGAAGCCGTGTCAGACACAATACTACGACATCTTCAAACCTCAGAGGTGCTTGACCATAAACATTAACCTAACATGTTGTGAAAATGCCGCAAATAAAATTCCCCACGTTTCTGCTATCCTAACAGCGTGTCTGATGTTTTTATCAAACATATCGGTGTCAAGGTCGGTATGGAATTCAACAAGTTATGATAAGATATTTAGAGCCGAACAACTCAACTTCAACTGAAGTGAATGCATGCAAGAGACTCTCGCCGGTTAAAGATGGCGAGGCTCCCTCTAGTGGTTATTTAACGGTATCTCTATGGGGAAGAAGACAAGAGAGGGCAGTCGAAAACCATGCGTCAAGTCAGAAATTTGCTAACAATAACCACCAAAATTCATGTGGAATGTCAATACTTATGCGAACTTCAACCATCGAAATTATCAGAGGGATCACCCCAATATTTTTACTTCTACTGTATAACCAATAAGTGGTCTCCTCATCGAAGGTTAATGAGCGCCTATGGGGAGTAAGATATATAATACACAGAAAATCAAAAAATAATGGAGAAATTGTTCTAATATTTGCAGTGGTTAAAGTGATCATAAGTAGAGAGGACTGGATGCATTAAGGTGAAAATTTAGTGGAGTTTTCTGACATCAAGCGACATTAAGCAACTAACTGGACACTGTTTTACAACTCAATATTTCTCTCCAAGTCAGACTTTTTAAAGGAAAGAAACATTTTCAAAGCACGCCGACTTTTTGCGTCTTAGGCACAAGTCTGATGATTGCAACAATACAAACCACATGAAAATGGCTTAAAATTCAGCAAGTTGTGATGTTTTCCCCCCAAGTGTGCTCATGCCTTAAGCCTCAATAGAAATAAAAGAAGTTCTCGTGAGTCAGGTGCATGAAATGTCTAAATCAAACCGCTGCTGTTCCGCCCCCCCTCCATTTATGCACAAAATACAAATCCAGTGGTTATCGGGTTTTTTTTCCATTTTGGTCTTTCGAGCAAATATTGAGATCAGTCATGATTTCGGGGTTTTTTTTTTTTTTTTGACGTTTCTGTTTCGTTTGAACAATCAATGAACGAATGCTACATGGATTATGCATAAAGACTGTCGAGCCATTTGCATTTTTATAAACTACTTTCCAAGAAGCTCCTTATTGCTGCTAAAAAATGAGGTGGCATGATTGTCATTGAATAGCAACAATATGCACACTCATTTACAAATATGCACCATGAGGAAGGGCGCACCTCATCATATTCACCATCAGATTCCTCTCGCTCAATATATTCCACATTTTCCCTTTCATTAAAACCGCCACCATAACCTGAAAGTATATCGGAGAGACATGGATAAGAGATTGTATTGCACAATTGAACAGATACTACAAGGCGGCACATTCTGCTAAATTACCTGTTCTTTCTTCAAGCTTGGCATATTTGGGAGTGTTACACATGTTGCACTCCGACCGCCGCGCCCAGTTAACGTTTCCACATCTTCATGAGGCCGAGAGAAATGACAATAAACAAGAGCATAAAATAAAAGGACATTCACCATGATAGGAATGCGGTCACAACTGACACTTACGTTTTACATTGCCAATCATTTGCGCTGAATAGTCCTCTACTCTTATCTGCCAGAGTTTTCCCAATCTCTGTTCCTCCTGCTTTCATCATCTTGGCCTCTGTGGTTTTCTCTGCACTCAACAAACAAACCAACAAAAACCCAAATACGGTAGAGTTCAAATATCTGAGCTCAGCGATTCCCAACCACTCATGTCCCGTGAGATACTACAAGATGTGCTGCAGAAAATTATCCAAATCCACTTCAATGGTTCAAATTTTATTTGTGTACAACATATGTATTTATTCATACATGTATGCCAGTGGTGTATAGTAACAGGCAAAACAATGATATGTTGTTCCACTAGGTGGCAGAAGGTCCAATTAATCTGTGTACTGTACTCACCTGTTGCCATTCAAACAGTACAGTACTGAAATAGCTTAGTTTAAGTTCAACAAAACGGGCCCACATTTCACACCGAGTAAATAAAGGTGAGTACATTTTTCTCATGTAAGATGTACCTTGACGGGATAAAGGTTGAGAAACACCACCTGACAGAGTAAACAGTCATTTCGCCGCGCACACTCACCTCTTCCACATCTATTACAACTTGTTCTCCTTGCAAAGTTCACATTTCCACACCTGGAAAAAACAACAAAAAAAAACATTTAATACACATGTAAGCAATGAGTTTAAAAAGCTAAAACATACACAGAGCATGCATGGGTTCACTTGGTGCAGCACCTTGACACAATTCCCATTATGCAAGAGAGCCAAGTAAGCACTGCAGCTGTCCGCTACTCGAGACGCCAGTAATGCATCTTGAACTGTGTACTGATATTTATGGCCAGAGTATAAACTCAAATGACGCCCCCCCCCACACACGCAAAAAAAACCCGCACCACCTAAAATAGGGATAAATAAAGTTTTCTGAATCTGAATAGTTAGTAGAGGCTCGACGATAGCAGCTAACGTTAGCCGCCTCGTTAGCTTGCAAGCCAGTCACCAAACACAATTAGAATCAGCGAAAATCAAATCCGCGATATCTCCAATGTAAATCCAAGATGTGTTTCGTGTGTTGGTTTTATTCAGCTTCTTGGATAAATAATAAGACTGAAGACAATCGCTCGCTACTTTGCGCCTGGCGAGGTAGAGGGCCGAGCAAGCGAAACAAAGTTGACCCGCAGCTGCTTCAAGATGCAGTCGGCCCTTAACAGTAAATTATTCCAACAATCTATGGTCACCTTATATTGTACAATAACTTACTTTTTATCAGGACATATCCAATCCCCGTCGCTTACTCGAAAGCTCTTTCCCGACATGTCGGTAGTGTTTTAGCGTCGAGTGGCTTAGCTTCTCTTGCTAGCCAAATGTGCTCAATGTGGATGAACAGAGCCGCCCACCCTCAATACTGCATTCAAAGGCCGTCGGCCACCACGCTATCGTCTCGCTCTGCACCTGACGTCAACGTACAATTCAGAAATTTGAAAGCGTATTTTCACACTTAAAAATGAAATGGATAGTTATTCAATTAACTGATATTAAAATCTCATTCAAAGACGCAAATTCCCATTTTGAAAAGATTTAGTAAAATCTTAAACACGTGAATGCATCATGAGCAGAGCGCTGCAGACATGTACAGGTATTAGCATAATCAATATTAATCACAGTTAATTTAATACATAGGTTAAGCTTCGCATAAAACACTGTTGAATTACCCATATATATATATATGTGTAAGTTGAGAGGTTCGTAGTTTTTCAGTGGATAGCTCTACTTTAAAAATGGGCAAAAGGAGAGATGGAATCCTTTGAAGGCAGTTTTTATTTTCCCCCAACGGCTGCACCTCCGAACGAACGAACAAGAACACACCTCCTTCCCGGAAACACCAAAGACTTCCTGGTTTCCTTAACCAATCGTATAATATCAACATAAACTTGTTTAAGCAATTATTAAACGGAATATAACCTAGGTAACTGCAACACAAAATAACAAAATGCTCAAACATAAAATGAAAATAATTATTAATTTAACATAAGCTTACATTCTTCCCCCTCCCACCAGAGAAATGTCCTCATTTCTACTTTGATTACTTAACTGTAGAATCCAGG